CTGCAACCGTCCAAATGATTGGTCCTCCCCTGAGGGGGAGTAAAATGGCTGGGACACGCCCAACCTGGGCTACGGAAGGGGTACAGAAGTGACTTGGTGGGAAGGAAGGACTTTAGTCCCCTCAGTCTGTCTGGCCAATAAGCCGTTTGCATTTTTAATGACTCGAAATTGTGCAAAGTGCCCGAACTCGATCCGAACGGAAGAAGAGTGACAAGAGAGGAGAGAGAGTGGATATGGGGGGAGCAACAAGCCGGATGGATAGACAATCGAGAATATTTGATTTGTGTTATGCCTTTTATCGCTCTCGCACCCTTGACCCCAACCACAGCCCCATATCCTATCCCATCCTATCTCCATTGTGAGTGAAGCTTTGACAACTTAAACGCATCCAATTGAGGACAATTGCACAAACTCAATTTGCATACGAGCTGGCATACTATTGGCATGGAATTCAATGCTCAGCAGGTTCAGGCGGAAAGTCCACAAATCGAATCGATTTGAATTGGGGAAAAGCAAATAAAGAAACGTCTTTGAATACTTCCTATGCAAATTTTTCGACCAATCTAGCGCAATTTCTTGTGGGAAAACTCTATTCCACATCGCGCCACATTGTACATCCTACATGCTGGATCCCAGGATTAATACCTCATCAATGCCCTTCTATCTCTATGGACTTTCAGCCATATATCAGATATCGGGAGCACTGAAGTTAAAGCTCAGACCTCAGCATTGAGGCAGGAGAACTCCTCTGCGGTTCATGTCTGTCCGGGCTGGGACGGGCAGGGACGAGACGGGGCCCACTGGCAATGTAAGCCAACAAAGCCAAAAATCCAAGTAGCTCCACTGGCACCTTGACAGAAAAACAAACTAATTTCCAACTTTGTGGTTCGCCGAGATGCAGCACCAGGGAACAGCATCGGCAACGGTTACAGCAATGGAAAGGGATTGGGGATGGGCCATGCGGCATCCGGCACGGGGAGGCCACAGCTACTAGTTGAGTTGGCTACGGTTTTGGCCTTAGCCATTGATGTCTGGTTAATCGCATAGCACACTGACTGTTAAGATGAAGCGACAACGACGACTGGGGAGGCGAAAGTTCAGCTGGAAGAAAAATAGTTGCGGCTGTCGATGATGCGGGCAGGAAGGAGGAGGACAGAGCACGGAGGACTCCTCCACGCAGGCACGCTGGATTGTGTAGTCGAGTCCTTTGTTTACTCTCGAATAGTTATAGAAACGTTATTGTGCGCCATGCAAATAGACGCTGGTGAGAAGGATAGGGGCGTGGAACTCTTAGTCCCAGAAGACTGCATCGCACAGTTGACTTTCGTTGCATGCTACCCGCAGGCCGCGGGAAGGACTCAATGCTTAAAGTAACTTCTGCAACGTGATTAGATGGGAGTCCTTAAGAGTTTCCCCTAAACATAGGAAATATTTCGGGCCGTTCAGATGATATTTTTCGTCCCCTTAGAGCTACTGCTTCCGGATGGGGAGATGAGACCCATCACTTGAGTGTATTTTTATTAAGTATTTGCGATTTATCAAGGAAATCAATATGTCGCCTAACCGATTGCGTGTCCGTCCATCCCTCCGTGTTTCGGCATATCCGTATATCTGTCTACTTCTCCCAGCTTCCGCTCATACTCGTATCGGAGGCATATGAAATCGAGACCACTCACTTCCGCCCATTCACATCCACATTCACAATGACTCCCCCCCCCACCACGGGCACAATTGAAATTGAATAAAATTACTTTTCAAATTATTTGCGATACAAGAACAGAACGGAAGAGAGCGACACCCATAACCGACAGCAGCAGGAGGAGGGCAGGAGGACACACAGAGACAGAGACACAGCACATGGCGGTGCCAGAAGTGCTTATCTGTGGGAAAATGTTAACTGTATGAAAGCCATAAACTGTAGATATGCAAAGCGCAACTCCTCCTTACTTCCCAGTCCTCAGTCACCAGTCCCTCCCTCCTGGCCGTAAAGAGAGCGGAAAATACGTAAAAACAAATAACAATTTTGCGCTCAAAATAGAACACAAACAACAGAAGGAGAGGAGCCTACACAGCCAATCCCATTCACATATCTGGAGAGGATGGGAATGGGAGGACGTGGACGTAGATGTGAACGTGGATGTGGATGCGGACCCCAAGCAAAAGTATCGATTTATGCATATTAAATTACACGCACTGCCTTACAATAGTCGTTCGCATTTGTATCCAACGGATTCGTGCGTCGCCCGGTGCTCCTTTTGAGCAATTTATATTTCCTTATTGGCCACCCATCCCCTGTGCCACTGCGTGTGTATTTCTGACATCTCAGTTCCCGGTTCTCCATGGAATCGCCTAACCCACTTCCCCTCCCCGCTCCCCCCTCATCCACTCTCTGCTTCGGCATCATTACCATTGGGATTCCACACTAGCGCCCAATTTATAAACGTTTGGCTGTTTGGCATATCTTGGGGCTGTTCCCGCCTCTTGCGTCTTCGGCCTGCCGCAAGCCGCCAGCCGCCTGCCCTAGCAGGACACTTGGCGGGGAGTCCACAGAGAGAAAAGTCCACGCGAAAGAGAAAGTCGGGCCAAAGATGGAGACGCGCGGATAAGGCAGAAGGCAGGACCCCCAGTCGGGCTGGAAATTTATTTCAAATTGAAAATTCTTCTCGATTGAAAAATCCGCTTTTTTCTCTCTCAGTGAGCCAGGAGCCAACTTTCATTCCGCTATATGCGCAGAGGTGTCCCCCATGACCATGCCCGTTCCCAATTTCCATCCGAATTCCACTCCAATTCGAAGGCCGCGGAGTGCATATTTTAGAGCAACTTACTGCCGTGCTCCACCGATTGGGAGCGAGGAGAATTACTTTGTTCGACTTGCTCGCTGCCGGAGCCGCAGTATTCAGAAACTATCCATTCGAACATCCAGGCAATCAGCAGTTGACTTTGTAGCATAAGCGTCGGCCATAACTCACGCAATCCCCCATCCGAGCAAGTCGCGGAGCCCCGCCATGGCCTGCCGCACCATATGGAAACGAGAAATCCGCAAAGTGCAAGTGGCGCAAATGGAAACTCGTTCAATTTTCAATGAGCACTTTTCGACGTAAAGGAGCGCGGAGAGCTCGGGGATGGGATGGGAAACGGACTCCGTCTGCAATATTAATGCGCTCCAAACGCCGGCTCCGTCCTGACCCGTCCCAAAAAAAAACGCCCAAAACGTTAAGAGTGCCAATGGCCAGAGAAGGCATCCAAGTTGATGTCCTCGAGCGGAGTAGAGTAGAGGGGATATCTGGGTCACTCAAGAAACCCGCATCGGACATTGGGCCTGGATCGAGGAATCGAAGACACTCGCCATCGAAGCGACCAAACCACGAAGCACACTCTTAATTATTCTGGTCACATCTGTTATGTAAACTGCGACCAGGCCATAAAAGTCCCCGAAGATGACGGAGGCGGAGGTGGAGGCGGCGCCTGAAGTAAGCCCAAAGGATAAAGCCCGAAACTTGCAAAACGGCGACGAAGATGCGCACCACAACGCACGGCACCAGTCGATACTTGCTCCAGCGCACTCTCGTGCGTTGCAAAAATGTAAAAGGAAAACAACAACTCGCTCGGTGGTGGTCGGGAGAGGCAGGAGGAGGAAGCGGCAGAAGTCGGAAAGCATTTTCGAGAGCTGGCCAGGAGACAGGAGAGGGAACCCGGGACCCATAAATAAGCGGGCGACTGTCCAGGAGGCAGTGCCTTAATTTTTAAAATACTTTTCCCCACGCCCCACGCCCAACGCCCCACGCCTGCACATAACACCTTTTTATATTGTATGACAGTATGAGCGACATTCGAGCGAAGTACACAGTGGTCAGAACTCCGAGATCGGAGCTTTGTGTAGTTTCTGCAGGCAGTTGTGATGGCGACGTTCTGCATGGACCACTGTACAAGGCCGGTAGGGCTGGAGTTCGCTTTTCCATCTTTCCAGGGCCACGCCCGCTGCCGGAGGGAGGTGGCGGCCATTAAAATTTTGCATTGCTCTGAATCCGTTGTTTCCTCATTCGCGGTACACACCCAAAAGCACTCTGCGGGGCGAGGGGAGTCATCTGCCTTGTTTGGCGGTCGCCCACTCTGTACTTTTTAATTAATGTTGACCGCAATTTGCGCCTGGCTGCTGGGCGCGGGTCTGTGGCGTGGTCCACGTTCTCGGCCCTTCTTGAAGCTGCTTTTCTCCGTTTGTGTTATCAGGTTTTGTTTATCAGGACTTTTCGCACGGCGGCGCGAACCCTTTTGGCCGTCTCCAGGTAGCGACGGGCCTGCGCCATTCGAATGCTCTGGCTCAGTCACCCTTGGGTTATTAAGAGATTCATAAAATAAGCTTTGGCCGGGGGGTCCAAGACCAGCGGAGAATCTCAACCAACATGGCTGGGGATGGTATAATATCCATTTCGCTCAACGGAAGCCTCTTGTTTGCGTCTTGTAGCGGACAAGTGCCAGTTATTCCAGAGTACAGAGAATCCGGAGTCAATGGAACCAATTAACTGTACTCACAGTAGTCGTCGTGCCCAAGTAGGCCTGCTCCATCGATCCATGACGATACAGAGACGCGGACTCGGGGACCGGACCCCTTCCCTTTCCCTTTGGCAAACCACAGATGCAGTTCGCAACAGTAGCAAAGGTCGCTGCCAAATGGCATATCAATGACTGCGGTCGGCCTCCCGCTTCCTGGATGTAAACTGAAACCAGCTGCTGCTCAATCGCATCGACAGTTGGCAAGAACCCAAACAGAAACAGGCTTGAAAGGCTCAAAGCTGGAGTGTCATCCACAGAGACGCGTTACTAATCGCAGTATAAGAGTTCTAGCTCCAGTTGACTCGGAACGGGTTATGACTGGACAGATCATAACAAGACACACACGACAATGGCACGACAGCAGATACAACAGATACACATGGGATGGTTGCGGTGCGCCTTTTAGCAAATACAGGCAAATACATTTCTCAGTGAATCGTAGCTTGGGCTGATCGTTTTACAAAATGTATATATATTTACTTAGATTGTGAACCATTGGATTATATGTTGTCTCCGCCATGGATGGTGTAGGGGCAGATTAGATGCTGCTGTAGAAGCAGGCACAGCCGGGTGGCAGGGGCAGCATCTACTTCAACTTCTTCTTGGGGCGCAAGTTGTTGGTGTGTCCGCACTTCTTCTTGCGGCAGTTGGTGGCACGGGGGTGCAGACGGGCGTAGCACTTGCGGCAGATCATCTTGTCGCAGTTGTACTTCTGAGCCAAGATGCGGAGCGAGGGCTCGATGATACCACCGCGCAGGCGGAGCACCAAGTGCAGGGTCGACTCCTTCTGGATGTTGTAGTCGGACAGAGTGCGGCCATCCTCCAGCTGCTTGCCGGCGAAGATCAGACGCTGCTGATCTGGGGGAATGCCCTCCTTGTCCTGGATCTTAGCCTTGACATTCTCGATGGTGTCAGAGGGCTCGACCTCCAAGGTGATGGTCTTGCCAGTGAGAGTTTTCACGAAGATTTGCATTTTCGAATCGTTGCTGCAAACACAAAATAAGACATTAGTTAAGGTCGCCCAAGTTTCATTTCACGAAAGAATCACATTTTCTGCTATTTTCGCAGTTTCTGTGGCGGCTTCGAGGTTAGGTCCGACCTACTGCCAAGTGGGCGGGCTGTTTAGCGTTATATTCTGTCGAAACCCTCTCGATGCCACCAGTTTTCGCTGCACATCCACATGGCTCGACCATGGACAGTATGTTTTTGCAACACTTTCACTGTTTACCAATTATTTTCACATTATTTCAGCAACTCACCAGAGAAAACGTGCAACCAAATGCTATTCCAAAAGAAAAGGAAAATCAGGGAAGCTAATATAGTGTGATATCAATATATCGATATATATACACGGGTAGCTGCGATACTTTTAGGCGATAAGTGAATGAATCGATACTTCGGCATTTAATAGCTGTATGATATTAGACTCTGCTAAAATTTGCTGAAAAAAGAGCGAGATCTCTCTATCATGATCGATAAAACGCAAAAATGAGTGTTTGCAGACAGCTCTGAATAACTGAGACGTGTGATGTTTGTACAAATGTCGTTTGAGGGGGTTTCACATTTGGAGTATTTTGTGCTTGGTAAATGTTGCTGCGCAAATTCTACATATTTTTACATTTTACATTACATGATGTCCGTCAGGTGTCGCCTTTGGCACTTCGTTCAACGGGCTTGCATTTTCTTCAAATTGGGATAACTAATAAAAATATCTTTTTATTTAAAGATTTCTTGCAAAACGTGTTAATTCAATTGGAAGCGACAACGACAAGTAAACAACCATTGTCTGCATACCTGTGGCTCCGAACGGTGCTCTCGGGGTGCTTTGTGAAGCCTGAATGCCTTCTTTGATAACTCCACATGCATGCCATGAATGCCTACCGAAACGAGGGCAATATGCTGGCCAGCTCTGCTTTGTGCTCGAATGTGTGCTCTCTCCACACACAACACACAACGGCGAGTTTAACTTCTTTGCGGTGAGTCTTTGTCAGTAACCGCGCCATGGTGAGGGCTCAGCGATTCTACAGTCGCAATCGCGATGATCCCGACGACAAGAAAGCGTCAGCGGTAACAAAACTGCTGTCCGACCTACCTGCCACAGTAACCGTGCTCGACGTATGGCCACATGTTCCGCTGTTAGCCATGCGTAAGAATCCCTTGTTTCCCCGATTCATGAAGGTTGTGGAGGTGAGTGCAAATGCTGGGATAGATATCCAGAATTCCAGTGGCCACCACTACTCAATTGTTATGGATCTGCTGCGTCGCAAAGTTAGCCTTAATCAGCCCTACGTTGGGGTTTTCCTCAAGAAAGTCGACGGGGAAGAGGAGGTCGTCCAGAGCCCGGATGAGGTCTATCACCTGGGCACTTTTGCACAAAATTAAGAGGTTCAGGATTTGGGCGACAAGATGCGCATGGTGGTGGTGGCCCATCGTCGCATACGACTCACAGGACATTTGATCGAGGATCTGCCACATCCAAAAAAGTAAGCACCTACAGACACACAGCCAGTATAAATTGTGACAATTGTTCTTGATCTTAGTGTCTTGTCCAACCGCGTCACGAACCGCTGCCGGAACACAAAAAGACTAAACCTCCAAAATTCGTTCCCTTTGAGCCATATCCAGGAGCTGTGAATCCCATGACTGCTGCACCATCGACAAAACATAAAATTCATCGCGAAAAAAATAACCTGGACATTGGTGTACTCGTGGATCAAGGGTCCATACTGCGCATCCAAGAACTGGACCCTGAACCTAAAGAGAGCGACAATAAAGATGCCAGCAACGGCGAGTTAGATATCCTCTCCAGCTCTCGAAAAAGAGGGAGGAACGTGACTACTTCCAGGCCCAATAAAAATTTCAAACGCACGTCAATAGGGAGCTAAAGAACCTGCTGGTGGCGTCAGTGGGTGAGGATCTGCAGACTCGCGTCAATCTGCTCACCGAAGACAAGTTGCAGCTGGCTCGAGCCCTGATGGATACTGCCAACAATCTGACGACGCATACCGAGCAAATTAAGTTTCATGCGGGACAATGCGAGGTCTGGCGATCCAAGTTTCTGACCAGCAGTGTCATGGTCGAGGAGCTGGCACGTTGGAAGGCCGATCTCACGCAGAAAAGCCAGATCCTGAACCAGTCCACCAAGCACCAAATTCAGCTGGATATGCTGAAGCAACTAATGTTTTTGACCGCCACCGATGTGATTACCCTGAGTGTCGAGAATCTGAACATACTACAGCTCCACACGGGAGTGGGCATTCCCGAGGAGACTCTCAAGCCGAACGACTGTCCACCGCCGAACGCTGTGTTTCCTACCGTCTACGCGAGCTTTTGATGATGATGGCAATGTGTTGTAGATTATCTTAATTAATTCACCCGGACTCTCAACCAACCGGCCAGTGCCAGCCGCATTATCGTGGGCGACCAGCACCGTCTGGACACGCCGAAGAAGTTATTTGACAAAACAAGGGAGACAATTCAGCAATTTAAGGCTTATTGAGAAAAAACAAATGTCCTGATTGATATCAATATAGCTGCTCGGACGGATGAGCAAAGCAATACCATTTTTCTTATATTTATAGCTGTAACGAGGTAGATGCCAGGTATGAAAGTAGTAGTAATCTGTGGGGGATACCTAATGAAAATGTCTTTTTATTTACAGATTTCTTGCACAACGTGTTATTGAAAGCATTCTGAAGGAACAGTCTGTGCTGGTAAGTATTTATATATTCTGAGTCTTATTTTTCTACAAATTATCCACTGTGTGCATTTCCTTTTTTAATTTTAAAATATTGAGTGGCTGGAAATACATCCTTTGCCTGTTTCGTAGCTGAAGAGGTTTGTTGGTTTTCGAATCGAGATAAAATTTTACCGTAGAGCCGACACTAACTTTATCTCCAATTTCCGAAGGTAGTAGAATATTAAACGTCGAATCTCCACTGTTCGTCTCAGGGAATGGTTCTACTCGGGCCATATAAACGCCGAAGTCTTTGGAGATATCCAGCAAGTGGACTGTGTGGGTGGATTTTCTGTCGCTTAGATGGCGATGATTCATACTGGTTTCCTTCATCATCGTCCTGAACTCGTCCACGTAGCCTCCTTTAACACAACGCTCAGGAACCGCCTTCTTCCTGCTGAAAGCTGGAAGGTATTGACGGACGGTTGGTTCTGGCACTAGTTGAACTCCTAGCGAGGAATCAATGTAGCCATTCATTGACTGGTCTTTTAATTCGTTCCAAAGTTGCGATGTCTTTCGAGGGGCTCTGCCACCAGTCTGTGAGCTGGCGGATCTAGGAGAGATGTGTGACCTGCAAAATGGCATTGATTTTGTCCTACGCGGCAGTGCTGGCCAACTGGTGTTCGCTAACTCCCTACATGTCGCAAACCTGGTAGCCCACTCCGTTGTTCTCGGACTACTGCTTATGGACGTGGAATTTTGTAGGTTTAGCCAAGCCTTTTCGAACTCGGATGGAGGTTTTTTACGCTGTGACTCCACCAATGGTGATTTTGGCTGACACTGTTGCTTGGTGTTTGGCCCAGCGTCTGCAGCCGCATTCTCCTGTTGCTCGTCGCCGTCAGGTCGGGAGCTGTATTTACGTTTGGTGATGATTTGTTCCGGCGAGGAACCAATGTAGCTATCATCGGATACGCCGGTGTGGCTCGAATCATTCAGTGACTCGTCTTTGAATTCGCTCCAAAGCTCCGATATCTTTCCAGGGGCTCTGCTGCCAGTTTGTGCGCTGGCGGATCTACGAGAGTTCTGTGACCTGCAAAATGGCATTGATTTTGTCCTACGCGGCAGTGCTGGCCAACTGGTGTTCGCTAACTCCCTACATGTCGCAAACCTGGTAGCCCAATCCGTTGGTCTCGGACTACTGCTTGTGGACGTAGAATTTTTTAGTTTTAGCCAAGTCTTTTCGAACTCGGATGGAGGTTTTTTACGCTGTGACTTTGACTGAGACTGTGACTCTACCAATGGTGATTTTGGCTGACACTGTTGCTTGGTGTTTGGCCCAGCGTCTGCAGCCGCAATCTCCTGTTGATTGGTGTTTGGCCCAGCGTCTGCAGCCGCATTCTCCTGTTGCTCGTCGCCGTCAGGTCGGGAGCTGTATTTACGTTTGGTGATGATTTGTTCCGGCGAGGAACCAATGTAGCTATCATCGGATACGCCGGTGTGGCTCGAATCATTCAGTGACTCGTCTTTGAATTCGCTCCAAAGCTCCGATATCTTTCCAGGGGCTCTGCTGCCAGTTTGTGCGCTGGCGGATCTAGAATAATTGTGTGACTTGCAGAAATAAGTGGATTTTTTTGTACGCGGCAATGCTGGCCAACTGGTGTTCGCTAACTCCCTACATGTCGCAAACCTCGTAGCCCAATCCGTTGGTCTCGGACTACTGCTTGTGGACGTAGAATTTTTTAGTTTTAGCCAAGTCTTTTCGAACTCGGATGGAGGTTTTTTACGCTGTGACTTTGACTGAGACTGTGACTCTACCAATGGTGATTTTGGCTGACACTGTTGCTTGGTGTTTGGCCCAGCGTCTGCAGCCGCAATCTCCTGTTGATTGGTGTTTGGCCCAGCGTCTGCAGCCGCATTCTCCTGTTGCTCGTCGCCGGCAAGTCGGGAGCTGTATTTACGTTTGGTGAACATTAAAATAGTGCAATATTGCTTTAAACACAAAGTTTAAAGTATTTGCAGCTTCTTTGTGTTTTATTCCAAGCAGACTACATGTTTACTATTGATACCTCAGTTTCACGCGCACATCGATAGTGTACAAATTCAATCGATAGTTAGTTGCCTGTCGATAGTACTATCGATTCTTTGACAGCGCTAATTGCAATTTATGGAAAAGAACGTTGTGTAAAAAACCTTAACGAAAAACGTGGATAACGTTTAAAGCACACAACATGTCGACTGCGGGTGATGAACGGCCTGCGGCTGAAGGCGCGGTAAGCAAAATCAAGGCTTTCTTCAATTGCATCAGCCGTGCACGAGACATTTCAATGCTGCCCTCATTTTCAGGTGGCTGCTGGGAATGGGAACGCTGAGCTGGCCAATAATGTGGGTGCTGAAGGTCAAGAACCCCAGCAACAACAGCCCCAAAATCAGCCCACTCGCATGGAGTCCTTCTTTGCCATGACCAAGTCGCTTATCTTGCGAGCCCTGATCATCTACTTCGTCAGCTCTTTCTTCCGAAAGCCGCAGACGAATGCCGGCGAAGACAAGAGCGTGGCCAATGCGGGTCCAAAAATAACCGCGTGGAACTATTTTGAGAACGGCACAGATTTCGATTTGCACGTCTGGCTCTCTGAGGAACCGGACGTTGTAAACTTCCAGCAAAAGGCGAATCTGCTTTGGCTCCAGGAGGATCTCACGTATGGCGATTGGAGCTCGGGCCCCACCAAGGACGGCATCTACAGCCACAACTTGCAAATAAAGGCCAGTCAGCATTTAATGAACAACGGAAGTGTCTATCTGCACGCCTTTGTGACCAGGAGCGGCGAGAGCCCAGACCCAAAATCGCCCAACTATGCCCGGAGCGGTCACATGGGCCATCAGCAGCACCAGCTAAACAAGTTCAAGAAGCTGCGAGTGAACCGCAACTACAACCTGCTGGCCAGCGAGAAGGAGAAACTGGAGCACGAGCTGAAACACGCGAATCTCAAGGACCAGATCGTGTCCCACTGGCATCCCAATCTGACCGTCAACCTCGTGGTGGACCAGACCAACTGGGCCCAAGGCTCGGTGCCGCCGCCACTGGACGAGTATGTCAAGTTTGTGGATGGCGGTAAGACCTATTTGCCCATTCTGTTTGTCAATGACTACTGGAATCTGCAGCGTGAATATTTACCCATAAACCAGACCACTCCCGAGCTGGAGCTACACCTGACCTTCCAGCCACTCGGAATGTTCAAGTGGCAGCTGTATGCCGCCAAGCAGATGAAGAACAAATGGGCTGGCAATATGCTGGGCGACATTATGGCAGCCGGTGCTGTGGAGGAGACAGACGAGGACCAGGACTCGCTCAAGGAGACCTTGCTCGACACCAACATCTATCTGCTCGGCATCACGGTGGCCGTCTCTATATTGCATTCGGTGTTCGAGCTGCTGGCCTTCAAGAACGACATTCAGTTCTGGAACAACCGAAAGTCGCTGGAGGGCCTCTCAGTCCGCTCCGTGTTTTTCGCCGTGTTCCAGTCGCTCATCATACTGTTGTATGTGCTGGACAATGAAACAAACTTCATGATACGCATATCCTGCTTCGTGGGCCTGGGAATTGAGGTGTGGAAGATCCACAAGGTGGTCGACATCAACTACAACCACGATCAGAAGATCCTGGGCGTGTTCCCCCGCATCAGCTTCAACGACAAGGGCTCCTACTCGGAGAGCTCCACCAAGGAGTACGACAGGCTTGCCTTCAAGTATCTGGGCTGGGCCTGCTTCCCCCTGCTGGTGTGCTACTTCATCTATTCGCTGATCTACAACGAGCACAAGGGCTGGTACTCCTTTGTGCTGAACATGCTCTACAGCTACCTGCTGACGTTCGGATTCATCCTGATGACTCCGCAGCTGTTCATCAACTACAAGATGAAGTCTGTCGCCCACATGCCGTGGCGCATGATGACCTACAAGTTCCTCAACACATTCATCGACGACATCTTTGCGTTCGTCATCAAGATGCCCACCATGTACCGATTAGGCTGCTTCCGCGACGACATCATATTCTTTGTGTTCCTATACCAGCGCTGGCAGTACCGCGTCGACCTAAAGCGAGTCAACGAATTCGGCTTCTCCGGCGAGATGGAGGAGCAGGCCGCGGCAGGAGCGTCTGGCGCCAAGTCGCTGCCGTTGGAGGGGCAGGCGGATGCCAATGGGGCGGCAATCGAGGCCGCGGTTCCCACGATCAAAAAGACAGCCGCACAAAAGAAACAGGACTAGATAGCCATAGCCACATGTACGAGCCAGTATATGCATTAGAAAATTTCTAATATCTATCTAATATCTAATACCATTATACTCTAACAATGTATGTAATCAAATCAGTTTTCAGTACACATAGTCAAAATATCCTCCCACCCCGCTGTAGCAAACACTACACTCCACTATCACTATAATCCCTAGGGCTAAATTGTATGTGTATGTACGTATGTTCGTGTTTGTGTTTCGAGCCCACGCTTCTTCCCAGCGTTGGATGATCAAATAAATTAAGTGTGAGATAAAGAAGAATCCACTGCATCTAATCTAATCGTCAAGCAATGGCCAGATTATAAGTTATCACGCTTGCTCTGGGAAACCACATATGAGGTGTTTTATACACACATACATACATACGTACTCGAGCACATATGCATATGCATATCATGAAAACATTGGACCAGCTGTTTGAATAGTCACGTCCACTTTGCAGCACTGGCGCTTCAAAACTTTACAATACTGAACAAGTGCCCGGGTAAATCTAACCAATTCAAACAACTTTGTACCACAGCATCGCAGCAACTAGAATAGAATTACCACAATGATGAAATATTATATCAAGATTAACATTTCAATAAGTATTCTTATGTTTATAAAAGTGATGCATAGTGATCCCCCTACAAGTATAATGTTATTCCTTGGCTAAAAATGATCAAGTCACACGTACGACAACGACTCGGTAGTGGTCTTGATATCGACTTGGGCATTGTGTTGAGCCCATCGCCCACACTATAGCTCTGGCTGCCGCTAGAAGTGGAAGTGGAACGAAGAGCAGCGATAAGCACGGAGTAGGAGGAGGAGGAGGAGAACCCGCGAATTCTCTACTGGCAAAGGCAACGGCAACAACTGCAATGTGTCGCGTCGTAGGCTCAGCTATTTTTATTGGTTTACCTTTCTGACTGCTCTTGGGTCTCGGGCTTGGACTTGGCAGCAGTGGCCGCGGCGCATCACTGCGCTGCCTGGCCAGGACTTGGACTTGGACTTGGTGCTGGGCTCTGCGTGTTTTTGTAATATTTCTCAAAAGATAAGAATGCGCCCAGACCGGGCTGCCTTTCTGTTGCGGCTGCTGTTGCCATTGGCCGTTTGCTTTTGCTCTCCTGCTTGGCCCGGGCCGTGCCTGGCATTTCGGCAGCGACGACATTCATAAAGAAATAAAATCGGACAAAACTCTTGTTATGCTCTTACTTACTTACTACATTAAGTGACAGTTTTACGAGGCAGCCAGCGAGTCGCGGGACTGGCTGTGGTTTACTCACATGATCCACACTCTATGCACTTCAATGTGGTCTATGCAGAGTGCTGGTGCACATGGTGGACTTATTTATGTCTAGTATGTGTTGGATTTGCGGACCCAATCCAACCCAACCTGACCCTATTCCCGGAACTTTACAGTACGGTACCTTTGGATGTTCCACACAGATTACAATCAATATGGAACCGAGTGCTCGCTTAGGTTTTAAGTGCCGTCGGGAATTCCGGGAATTTCAGCAGTCCCATTTTCGAATTTCGAACCTAATAAGAATAAAGATGGCCAGCCACAGCCAGGGTAGCGACATCCGACAGTCTGCAGGCAAGATCCCAGCCCCAGACAGCGACTCATTCTCAGCCTTCTTTTCTTACTCTCTCACATACATACATAATATATATATATGTATATACATACATACTTTAGGGCGCCCGGTGTCCGACACACGCATCACATGGACAGCGACAGAGCAGAGCTAGTTCACACCACCAGCCCGAGCAGCATAGCAGAGCAGTCCAACCCCGGTAAAGGGAAGTAAAACGCAGGTCCGTCCCAAACACCAAACACCGAAATTCCAGCACCAGTAACAACAACAACGGCAGCAGCGGCGACAACAACGACAACAACAGCGAAGTAAACGACAACTAACCATAAGAAAAATGACCAGCGATAATTTTAATTTGAAACCAGTTTCTATGCTAAACAAAATTCTACGGCGCTGCCCAAGACGGTCCGACGATCCAGGGAAGTAACCAAATAAAAAGTGCCCGCAACAAAGAGAGCGATGGAGAGAGACTAGGAGAGACCCCAGAGAGGGAGTGAGGTCCGATGTTGTTGAAGAGAGAGAGAGCGCCGAAGAAACAGAAGAATTTCTTATTCCTAAAGCAAACCAAACCCGACCTGGGAGCAGGCCCTCGCCTTCGTCTTCATCTTCATCTTCGTCGTCATCGTTTTTCGTTTCCTTCTCCCCGTTCAACTTTGGATGCCAGCTCCTTAGAGTTAGCGTTGGAGTCGGAGTGGGACCGAGTGAGCACGACTGAGCACAATAACGAAAGCAAATACAACAGCAACAACAGGAGCAAGTGAAGCATCCACACACCCCCCACACACTCTATGTACATTCTACAGCAGGCAAGTAATTTTTATTGTTGTTGTGTATGGGTCGCCGGTGGCTATTGAATCTTGTCGGACTGGCTATGCGCCCGAGTACGGGGCAGCATTATGGCCTAAGTCGGAGGGGCGGCTCTGTCTTTTGGCTCTGGCTCCGTCTGTGCCCCAGAGTCCAAGGCACAGCGAGAGCGAATCGGATAGGTTCATGGAAGAGCTGGCCAGAGAGAGCGCAGGCAACAATTCCGAACAAGAAAATGAAAAACGAAACTGCAACAAGTGAAAAATGTGTTGCAGGCCTCCGCTGCCGCTGCTGCTGTCGCTGCCGATGCCGCTGCCACAACAGGTAGAGTGCAGAGAAGAGCGCAGAAGAACAAGCTACCACATTTGGCACGTATATGGCGGTCAGGAGAGTATATCTCTTTTTCTCTCTCCCTCTCCCTGTGTGAGATTCTCTTTGCCTAAACCTGTCAGTCGGCTTTTCCAGCCTTGGCTCGGCTCCCGCTCTGCTCATAATCTCTGCTTGCAACTCCACTCGTGGCGCTCGGCATTCAGTTTTCAGTTACGTTGCGACCACTGAGCGAGACTTTGGGCCGAGTTCTGCGATTCGAAAAGGCGCGCGTGCGTGAAACGGTTGACAAAAGTGAAGGTGCGTCAGTGACTTGGATTCGGTTTGCTTTTCTCCAACTGGAGATACATGCCACTGTATCCGAACATAGGGCTTTTGCTCAATGTGTCTCTGTGCAGTGCGGTGTTTGCTCTGAGCACAAATCCAAATCAATTTGTTGAAATATAAATTCAAAGCAGCTGGAAATTAAGTGCTCCCAGAGTCTTGCTCCAAGTGTATCCGTGTATCTGCTGCGCCTGTGTGTGAGCATGTACATCTGTGTGTCGCCGTTGCAAATTTTTATAAGTGAAAAATTCCAACAACGTTGCAGCGAGCAGCCACTGCTGCAACAAGCCATATACAAGAGCGAAAAATGAAGCAAAACACGTTTTGCTAAAAGAAAAAAATATGCTGCGTCTGCAGCCATTTCAGATGTCCGCAAGTGTGTGTGTGCCTCTGTGCGTTCGTGCTTGTGTGCCCCCATCGGTATCGGTATCGGTATCCGCGCCTGTTCCCGTGTCCGTATCCGTGCGAGCCCACCAACACTAAAATGAATTTAAAAATGTGAAGAAAAATGGTAGGTACTTGTATATATGTACGTACATATGTACATACAAACATTCATAGCTATGCTATTATATGCTAGCATATATGAGATTGCACTAACACTGATTTGGTCTCCCATTTCGGGCTCATTTCGACTGATCCTTCAGCCAGCGGCATTACGTTTGCGAAAGTTCCGCAGTGAGAATCCGATAACCCGAACCAATGCTAAACCCAGAACAACAAATTTGCGTAAAATCCAACAGCCAGAAACAAATCACTTTTCCACTCATTTCCATTCTGGGATCACGCCCACGCGCTGTGCAAACAACTTTGGCTAATGCAATCGCATTCATAGCAGTATAATACAATTGTGGTATGCAAAAAAAAAAACGATGAATGTGAATGTACAATATATGTATGTACATACCATGCACATATGCATGTATAGTACAACACATATGAGTACTCGTACATCTGAGCGGTTGGCGAAGGCAGGCAGGCGGCAGACAGCGCCGCGTCTTGACGCGACTAACACAAATAAGATTAATTGTTGAATTATTATAAGCCAAAGGCAACGGTAACGTAGGCAGAGGCAGGGCCAGAGGCAGGGGCAGTTGTTGCTCTTGTCGTTGTCGTTGTCGCTGTCGTTGTGGTTGAAGTAAAGGTTGGCCTCTGTTGTTGTCGGATGATACGATGCTGGGGCTCAACCAAAGCTGGGACCGTGAGCAGATTTCATCCGATCCGAGATCTGAGCTGAGCGGAGAGTTGAGCACAAAATGTTGCCACGTAATGGTTCAAATGGTTGTGAGTTTTGTTATTGTAAGAAATATCGACAAAGAAAGAAGCAAGAAAATATTCCTTTTTGTTCAAAATCTTGTAGCCCCTCTCCATGGTGTATCCATTGTATGAGTGTGTATCTGTGCCTGGCATCGGCTTGCGCTTGCGCTTGCACGCCGATCAGCAGCGAAATGTAAATGAATATGGAAATATGGAAAACACGTTTTCTTTGGCCAGCCCGAACTCCAAACTCCACAGAGCTCTACTGGACTGTTCCGCTGCTCGCTTTGACTTGTTGTAGTGAGATGTAAAGTGAAAAGCCCAAATAAAATAAAAATTCATAATAATAAGGATCTGGCGGTGTGCATGGGTGTGTTAGTGCCTCTGCCACTGCCTGTTCCTGCAGGCGTTCCCCCAATGAGCGTTCCTCACGAAATTTCGAAGACGGTTTCTGGTCGCCGAAAGATATCTGTTCTGTTCTGTCCTAGCGATACTTGTATCTTTTTTATGGTCTGCCCTTTGTTGTGTATTTGAATTTGCATTGCAAATACGGCTTAGTATACGGTATAGGCCCGGCAGAGGCACAGTCAAATCTTGCACAGATATGGTATTTATGAGCTCTCAAAAATAGCCCGCAGAGCCATGGCCATCGCCATCGCATCGATATTAATGGCGTGGAAACCAGATATGCCATAAGCCAGCGATGCGTATGGGAAAGTGTAAAAGAGACAGATAAAACAATATGCATACATCAATCAAACAAATGGCTTTTGCCTCTCGTTCCCTTCCTCTCGAGACATTCATGTGGCCAATATTTAAATCTCGATGCCCGCAGATGGGTTCACTAATATGATTAAAGAGTGAACTCTTCGGAGTCAGCTTTGAAGAGTTCAAGCTCGACCGACTGGCGATATCACCGAGGTTTTCACTTACGCTGGGAACATCTCTGCCATGAAGGAAGAGAAGAATATGGGGGAGAAGTTTCAAAAGTTTGAAATACTCGGAACTGATTTTGAGCGTCTTACTAATGCAATCGGTATTTGGTATTCGATAGATACAAGAGACAGGGAAAGGCACAGACCTTCCTGGGCTTCGTGTGTGTGTTTTGGTCCGGTCCCACAATAAAGAACACAAAACACCAAGAAATAAAAAATATATTTGATAGAGACCAAACGACCGAAAACGAAATGGAAGACTGCCAGGAACAGCACCAGAACCAGCAGCAGCCGCAGCAGCCTCAGTCGCATAAGCAGCAGCAACCAACAATACCATTAGAGCAGGTAGATTTTGAAGATTAATGAACGGGTTCGGGTTCGGCTTGAAAAGCTTCGCTTCGAACAACAAAAACGAAATTTACGACGCATTTTCAGCTACGTATGTATACTTGTAGAGATCTGATCCACAGCCCACATTCTGACAGATAGTGCGGGTCCGCTGCCATACTTTTGTCTAGTTAGTCCATCTAACGATGTCTCATACCCTTTCCCTTCAAGGCGTATTATCACTTCTAACAATCACTGACCCCCACACAGCACTCGTGCTAAACACACTCGGGGTTAGTGGAAGGGTATCCCGTGGTCGAGCACTACCAGCTGTCGCTGTCCATTTGGGATTTTACGCTATACGAGTGTTAATACGAATACGAATCAGTTTTAGAGCTCGATTCTACACACAATGTTGCACGTTGTTCTTGGTTTTTGGTCTTCGCTGAGTTGGGCAGGGGCGGGGCAGTGACAGTGGGTCTCCTGTCTTTGTATTGATACTCTTATAGAATCGAAAACTAACAAGAGATTGCCCCCACAAAGCATTCATTTGGTCCAAAGCTGACGCGCATGGTATTAATGGATGCGATGGCTGTTTTCCCATCATCTCTGTGTCTCCGTCTCCATGTGTGTGTGTGTGTGTGTGCTTTGGAATTTCATTTGATTAATAGACGCCGCCTAAATCTTGATTAGATTTTCCTAAAAGCCAAAGAAGAGCGGTGCCTTCTATGCCGTAGACTTGCCTCGCTTGCCTAGCTTGCCTTCAATCAGTTCGAATATATGCCCGTATTTTTATTTCGACTGCAAAGATCCCCAGTCCCTGGAGAAGGCGTGGGCTAATAGGGGTTGATTTATTAACTGGGGAAATGGGGAACAGATGAAGGCCTATCTGAGAGCTCCACGGTCGTGCAGCTAGGCGCTGGAAAACGCTGGTTACGCTTTCGCGCCTCATATGCCACTGGGCACCGTAGAGCGAACAGCTTGCACCCGCCCGAGTGGCGCATGCAATTTTATGCTCGACGGAGTATGAAATGGCTGCTGTTTTTTGTTAATTGAAAGTGTTATTCCAACAAGCACATGGTGATACATGAACTTCATTGGCGCATTAATCGACCATGAGTAAATTGAAACAAAGTCTGGACATGCGACTCGTACTAATATTACTCTTATTTTATATATTTTTTCAGGCGAATTTTACTGACGAATCGATAAACCATTCGAAAGATGTGAACTGACGTGAAAATTATCTAAAATGCACCGAGAGCAAAGCAAAGCAGAAAGTGAAAAAGTGTACAGCAAATGAAAAAGTTGAAAAGTAGACAAAGACAAAGGAGAAGGGGAAGGGAAAGAAGCGAACAAGAAAGTGCGAAATTTAAGGAATACGGCCCACTACGTCCAATACCAGCTCCCAGGAGCTCCAAAGAGACGATGGACTGGCGGCTCCGTGGACGCAGAAGGGAGCAGGCTGGAGTTTGGGCTCCCCTGCTGCTCCTCTTCCTGTGGCTGTCCATGGAATCCTGCTGTCAAGCGGGGGACATCAAGCTGGGCCCCACACTCGAGCTACTGGCGCCCCGAGGGCGTAGCTACGCCACCACCTACGAACAGTACGCGGCCTTTCCTAGGCGACGGAGCTCCTCGCCGGCGGCCGAGATGCAGTCCCGAGCGGTGGACACCAGTGCGGACTTTGAGGTGCTCGAGGGGCAGCCGCGTGGCACCCTGGTGGGCTTCATACCCACCAAGCCGAAGTTCACGTACCGCTTCAACGAGCCCCCGCGCGAGTTCTCACTGGACCCCGTCACAGGGGAGGTGAAGACGAACCTAGTGCTTGATCGCGAGGGCATGCGCGATCACTACGACCTGGTGGTGCTCTCCTCGCAGCCCACATACCCCATAGAGGTGCGCATCAAGGTACTCGACATTAACGATAATGCGCCAGAGTTTCCTGAGCCCAGCATCGCGGTTTCTTTTTCCGAGAGCGCCGTGTCGGGCACGCGGCTGCTGCTGGACGCGGCCACCGATGCGGACACTGGCGAAAACGGAGTCACCGATCAGTACGAGATTGTTAACGGCAACGTGGACCACAAGTTCCGTCTGGCTACCACCACAAACCCAAGCGGGGATACATCCTACCTGCACTTGGAGACGACGGGAAATCTAGACCGCGAGTCGCGAGGCAGCTACCAGCTGAATATATCGGCCCGGGACGGTGGTTCCCCGCCCCGCCTGGGTTTTCTGCAGGTGAACGTCACCATTCTGGACGTGAATGATAATCCGCCCATCTTCGACCACAGCGACTACAATGTTTCGCTGAACGAGACTGCTGTAGCCGGCACCCCGGTGGTCACTGTCATGGCATCGGACAACGACCTGGGCGACAACAGCAAGCTGACGTACTATCTGGCCGAAACGGAGCATCAGTTCACAGTGGATCCGGAGACGGGCGTTATATCCACCACGGAGCGCGTCAACTGCCCCCAGCAGACGCAGCAGAATGGCAGAGGCGGTGGTCAGAAAAGCTGTGTTTTCACGGTGTTCGCGCGGGACCATGGCTCCCCGCGACAGGACGGGCGCACGTATGTGACGGTGAACCTCTTGGACACAAATGACCACGATCCCATCATTCGATTCCAGTACTTTCCGCCCACCGGCAGTGTGGCCACCGTCGATGAGAACGCCGTGAATGGCACCGTCGTGGCCGCTGTGTCTGTGATTGACTCGGACGATGGCCTCAACGGAGAGACAACCACCCGGATCGTCTCTGGCAACGAGCTGGGCCACTTCCGCCTGGAGAAGACGCCGCTCTTCCACATTGTGCGCGTGAACGGAGTGCTCGATCGGGAGGAGATTGGGAAGTACAACCTGACTGTCGTGGCCATGGACAGGGGCACGCCGGCACGCATCACGACGGCCCACCTGATCATAGACGTTAACGATGTGAACGACCACGAGCCAGTGTTTGAGAAGTCCGAGTATTCGGCGGTGCTCAGCGAACTGGCGCCTACCGGGAGCTACGTGGCCTCGATAACGGCCACGGATGAGGACACGGGCGTCAATGCGCAAGTCCATTACGAGATCCTCTCGGGAAACGAGCTCAAGTGGTTCTCGATTGACGCTGCCACGGGCCTGATTGCCACTGCCGGTGCCCTGGACAGGGAGATAAAGGACAGCGTGGAACTGAGCATCTCGGCCCGCGACGGCGGCCCCAATCCAAAGTTCGCCTACACGCAGCTGAAGGTGACCGTTCTGGACGAGAACGACGAGGCCCCGCAGTTCGGCCAGCAACAGCTGAACGTCAGCCTCAGCGAGGACGTGGCACCCCAGAGCCTGGTATGCACGCTGACTGCCACCGATCACGACCAGGGAACGAACGGCTCTGTCGCATTCTCGCTGGCGCCCAGCGTGGAGCGTCTCTATCAGCAGCAGTTCGCAATCGACTCCATAACGGGCCAATTAACGACGCGCAAGACACTCGATCGTGAGACAATGGCGAATTATGAAATTTTTGTGATCGCCCGCGACCAGGGTGCACCCACACCACAGTCGGCCACGGCTACCGTCTACTTGAGCGTCTTAGATATCAACGATAACGATCCCGAGTTTTATCCCCAGCACTACATCTACACGTTCAGCGACGTGGATGACATCGTAGATGGTCATGGCCAGGCCAATGAGAAGGAGAACGAAAACGGGATGGCAAAGGAACGAACGCTGCTCCATGTCACGGCCACAGATCGGGACGAGGGCGATAATGCCTTAATTACATACACCTTGGAGTCAGGTGGCGAGGGCGTGTTCCAGGTTGACGCGCACTCTGGCGCTGTCATGCTGCGTGGCGACATTGCTGACAGGGCACGCACCGCCACAAAGCCCCACTACAAGCTGCTGGTCTCGGCGCGGGACTCTGGCCAGCGACGGAGTGGACAGGACGCTGTGGTGGACATTGTGCTGCAGTCGAAGATAGAGACAGAGCTGGAGTGTGGCAGCCAGGGTGCCTACGAGTTCCACCTTTCTGAGGATCACGAGCAGCAGCCGGCGCGCCTGGGCCGCGAGGTGGG